ACACATACTGGATGATCCCATTTCCGTGAAGTGCCTGGGGCTGTCAGATTCATAGAGACAGAAAGCAGCTGCCCGGGGCTGGAGGGAGAGGCAAGTGGCGACCAGTGATGCGTGACTGCTTCACAGATAGAGTCTCACTTGGAGAAGACAAAGTTCTGGAGGTTGACAAGCACGTGAACGGCCTTCATGCCACCGAGTCCATCCGCTTTCAGGCTTTCTCTGTTCTTGGTGGACATTGTACCTGTAGCGGTTAGACCCTGGTCCGGGAGGCAGGACACAGAAACTTGGCGCAGGCTCCCAGTCTTGAGCAAGCCCCTCCCATTTCTAGAATTGTTTATTTATCTAGCTATTTAACAAACATTTACTGAGTGCCTATGATATACCTGCCTTTTTTTTTTTTTTTTGGAAGGGCTATTACGATTTTTATAATCCCCACCTTCATGGAGCTTATATTCAAAGACAGGCAGAAACAAGTAAATATACATTTATAGGGCGCCTGGGTGGCTCAGTCAGTTAGGTGTCTGCCTTCAGATCAGGTCGTGATCCCAGGGTCCTGGGATCAAGTCCCACACTGGGCTCCTTGCTCAGCAGGATGCCTGCTTCTGCCTCTGCCTGCTCTTTTCCCTACTTGTGCTCACTCTCTTTCTGACAAATAAATAAATTACATCTTAAAAATAAATATTTATAGACTGTGATGAGTGTCAGGCTGGGTATAAGTAGGGTCATACATATAACATATAACAAATATAACATAATGGGTGTGTGGAGGAGAGGCCTTCCCTTCAGGAAGGGAGTTAGGGAAGGCTTGGAAGGAAGTGTGTTTACGAGAATTAGACTGCAAAGTTTCCAGCCATGAGGAATGTAAAGGGAATGACACTGGGACAGCCATTTCAGCAGGTACAAAGGCCCTGGGGCAGGGAAGAATTGGCATGTTCTAGTTCTAAAAACCCAGCACATGACCACTGCTGCTGGGGCAAAGCGGGCTGGTCAGAACAAAGCCCAGGAAGGAATGTACCAAGCTAGATCACACAGAACCATGAGAAATCTGAATATTCATCTAAGTAGGAAAGGAAGTAGAGCTTGGAAAATGTCTTCATAACACAAAAGGAAGACTTGCAAATTCCTAGGCCCTCCTTATCTTATCTTTGGCTTTGCCCATCTCACACTGAGTATGAATAACGGTGAATAACGGTCAGAGCTGGTCTCCTCAGATTCTGCACGGTGCCCTCCTCGGACTCCCCGCAAACTTCTCTAGGCTCCTGTGAGTAGTGCTGCTGGGAACATTCATGTATAGGTCTTTGTCTAAGCACCTGTTTTCAGTTACAGGAAACACCCCAGATTGGTCAATCCACAGAGACAGAAAGTAGATGAGTGGCTGCTGGGGACTGGGAGGAGGGGGGAAATGGAGAGTGGCTGTTTGGTGCAGACAGGGTTTCCTTTGGGGGCATGAGATGCCTTGGAACCACACTGAGAATGTACTAAATGCTGCTGGATGGTTTGCTTAAAAACGGTGAATGGTTAATTTTAGATTATATGAATTTGCCCTCCATTAAATAAGTAAATAACCTTGTAAACATCGCAAAGGCTAAACAGACACGTCTGCGGGTCTCCTCTGTCCCTCTGGCCATGGGCTTGAATCTTCTTCAGGCTTTAAAAAAAGATAAAAAGACAAAAATTACACAGAAAAATAGACACAGTTCAATTCTATTTACATGAAGTTCAAACGTAAGCAAAATGAAACAACACTTTCTTTAAAGAGTAGAATTATAGTTTTGCAAAACTACAAGGAAAAGGGAAGGATTTATTCAAAATCCAGGTTGTGGCTGATAACCTTGGAGCTGGGCACTGAGGTGGAGATGAGCTCAGTTAAGAGCCTATGCACGGCTTCCAAGATCCGAGTTCTTTTTCTCAGCCAGCGTTCTAAGAAAGCGAGTGTTTTTTTATTCTGATTCTTTAAATGGGATGTTGGGTTCTTACACATGTTTTTGCATATATGATGCATTCCACATTTAAAAATAAATGTGGGCTGAATTTCAGAAAGACACTTTCGGACATCGGGTAAAACGTTAGCAACGGGGGGACCTGAGAGAAGAGTATGTGGGTCTTCTGAGCGTTATTTTGATCCTTGCAACATCCCTGTAACTTTGAAATTACATTCAAAAAGTTGCAAAATGGATTCAGAAAGGACAGGATTGTAGATTTCAAGAAGATTCTATTTTCCTTTACTGCAAAAAAACCCAAAAACAAAAAACAAAACAAAAACAAGAGGAAGAGAAGCAAGTTAATGTTTCTGCAAATTATCCCACGGTATGATGTAGTTCCCATTACTGGTCTTTGGTGGGTCTCCATTCCCTGCCCCCACCTCTGAGAAGTCCACACGGACCCTGGGCAAGAAAGAGGGTGCAGAGTGCAGGCCCCGCGCAATGAGCCATTCCCAAGACCGGAGGACTCTCCCTCTGCATGTGGACATCTCTCAGAGCCTCCCCGAGCCAGCTGGGCTCAAAGTCAAGTAGAAAAAGAAAAAAAAGGGGGGGGGGTTGCTGATTCCACTCCCTGGCTTTTATCTGAGTTTATAATTACACGTTCATTAGTGTGATTATGTGATTAATATCTGTTTTCGTCACCAGACTGTCAGCTCTTCGGGGGGCCCCATTTTTGCTCTCCACTGTACGCGGGGCCCAAAGTGCCACTCGGTAATAAGAGCAGCAGGGCGGATGGAGGGGGCCCGGGGGCCAAGGCTCTGCAGGGATTAGGATGGCGGGACTCTTGGCAGTGGCTCTAGAAGGTAAGCCCTGAGAGGAGCTCTCCAAAAAAGAATGCCGAAGTGGAACCCCAGCGGCCCGACTCGGGTTTCCGTGGCCACTGCCCCACGCCTCCTCTGCCCGTCCAAGGAGGACGGGAACCCCACATCTTCAGCACGACACTGGCTTCAATACATCAGGAAATGAAAAGAGGGTCCTGCCAAAGAGGGCCCCATGGAGCCTGAGATGGGGTGCAGGCCCGGCAAAGCAACAGAAGGCCACCCCATGTTTCCTGGATGAAAAACAATCTCCCCAGTGAGGAGGCTGCTGGGAACCCCATGATAATTTGCAATTATATATATGAAATTATGTATGTCCTATAACTTGTCACGTTATATAAAGATTATGTTGCATGTTATGTTATATTATGATATGTTTATACATTAGATATTATATTTTACCTGTGTAATGTTATGAATACTATATGTATATGATAGGCTAGTACTATAACATTTATATAAAGATTACTATAACATATAATGATGTTACATTATATAGTTACATAATACGTAATTGTATTTATAATGTATAATCAAATATAGAAATGTGTAAGAGAATATAGTAACATTTAAAGATAATACCCATAGTATTATTAATATAGTAACCAAGTGACTATAAAATACTCATATGCTATATATAATACTGACATAATATATAACATTATATATATAATTGTATGTATAAATAGAGCAACATTTAAAGGAATCAATCTCTGGGTATTAACATATTTGTATTCATAAATTTGTTTAAAATTTATTTTTAGGGGCACCCGGGTGGCTCAGTGGGTTAAATGCCTGCCTTGAGCTCAGGTCATGATCCCAGAGTCTTGGGATTGAGCCCCGCAGCCTGCTTCTCCCTCTCCCTCTGCCCATCTCCCTCATCCTGACTTGTGCTAACTCTCTCTCGCTCTCTCAAATAAAATCTTAAAAAAAAAATTTATTTTTAAGTAATCTCTACATTCAATGTCAGGCTCGGACTCATAACCCCAAGATCAAGAGTTGCACATTCTCAGGCATCCCTGCGTCCTTAAAAATCCCTAAGTATTTTTAAATGTTTAAAAGACTTTGGCTGTTGAGAAATAACAGATCGGCTTTGGCTTTTCCTGTGTAACTGAAGAATGCACTCAGGTTGTGATTCTGGGGTTGAAATACATACCTGGTCTTCACAAGGCTCAAGGCCAGCTCTTTGGCCCCACAGGATAGGAGCCCTTGACCCGGGGCTTCCTTCCCCTCTGGTGCCCGCTGCTACTGCTCCAGCTCCTACCAGCATTCTGTTCACGTGGTCACTGCATTCCCCGAGAGGACAGCTCTCCGGCCTCCCTCGGAGCCCTGGGGATGCACATCCCCTCCCGCAGTCTCCTGGAGGCAATAGAGGCTTACCCATCATGCACCTCGGCGGCCCTCAGCCTCTCCCGGACCCGGTCCCAGAGCCACGTGCCCATCTTTAGGACCTGTTCCCAGGTCCTGCTGGAGCCACCCTCACAGAGCACCACAGACTGCGCTGTCCCTGCTCTGGAGGCTGGAAGCCCAGGGTCCTCACATCTCAGGGCTGTTTTTTGTTTTGTTTTGTTTTTTGAGGGCCACGGCGGGAGAATCTGGGCCGGGGTCTCTCCGGGGTTCAGAGGTGACTGGCCACCTTCTCCCTGTCTCTTCCCTAGGGCCTGTATGCATCCTGATCTCCCCTCCATACGAGGACACCAGTCCCTGGACTAGGGTCCACCCCGACAACCTCATTTTCACTTCATCACCTCTGGACAGACCCTCTCAGCAGATCAGGTCTCATGCTGAGGTCCTGAGCTTAGGACTCCAGCATAGATGTGGGAGGAACGCAGTTCAACCTACAATATTCGTGCTCTAGATCGCTGCATTTTCTTACCACTGTCTGTGGGTTTCTTGACATGTGACTTCGGGGCTGAGTAAAATGTCACAGGTTTCTGGAGAGCACAAGGGGAGTCACTTTTCTCTACCCCAGGATGCACAATCACACCCAAACAGACTCCAAATAAAAGCTGTTAAATTTCCAAACCTTTAATCCCAAACCGACCATAGCAAGGTCAGACCCAAAGATTTCCCCTCCCCTGGTTCCCCAAGGTTCAAAATTAGGTTGAAGAGGTCTCTCCCACAAGTGAACACATCCAGATCAAGAAAAAGAATCGGTCCAACTCCCTCCCAAGACACCCTGGCCTCATCCCCACCACCCCACTCCCTCATTACCCCATCAGGTCCCCCTTCCCCCCGACCTTCCCTGGGGACCCTCGTTTGCAAAAAACCTCTCCCCATCCTACCCCCAAGCATCCCAATTCAGCCACGGAGAAGAACATATTCACAGAGGGAAAAGATGAGGCAGAAGCAGGTCTGTGCAAACCCCATGCACCCCACAACAAGGCGAACACAGTCTTTCCAGGATTGGGGGGGCAGATTTTGGGGGATAAAATGGAGAAAAGGAAGGGATTAGAAGTAGTTGCAAAAGGCACAGAGGTGGCTCTAGGCGGCCCTGTGCCCCTGCTTGGGGCAGAGTGAGCCCCAGGGCCAGGGAGGTAAGGTGAGCAGGAGAAAGCAGCCGCCCCCCAGCAACAGGACCAGGCTGGCCCCCACCCCACAGCCCAGGGACCAGGAGTATTCGTAGGTCAGGGTGGGGGCAGGGGGAGGCTCAGTGCTGACTCTCCGCATGAGGGCTTGCACGGAATGCCGGAACACCTCCAGGCTGACCAGGAGCAGCAGGCCTGTGGGGAGAAGACAGGCATGGTGCTCAGGGTCCCCCGGGGGAAATCTCCTGGATCTGAGCTTTTCCCTAACATGCCCCATCTCTTGCTCCTGTCACCCCCCTCCACCATTCATCCAACCGCCCCTTACTAAACACCTACTACACAGCACGCACAGTCTGGGAAGCTGGAGATACAGAGGGAACACAACACAAACTGAGAGGGACAGAAGGACAGAGGGACAGAATGGTGGCCACCGGGGGCTGAGGGACCAGGAGAATGTATGGGGCCTGCTTCTTCACGGGGCAGAGTTTCAGCTGGGGAAACATGAAAGTGAAAAAGGGGTGGAGATGGAGAGCAGGGCTGGCTGCTCCATGGGACAGACCAGCCACAAAAATGGATGAAATGGTAAATTTCATGTTGCGTGTGTTTTATAGCTTTAAGAAAGAAAAAAACAGGGGGCGACTGGGTGGCTCAGTCTGTTGAGCATCCTGCTTGACTTAAACTCAGGTCACGATCTCAGGGCTGTGGGATCGAGCCCTTCGTTGGACTCCACGCTAGACATGGAGCCTGCTTCAGATTCTCTTTCCTTCCGCCCCTCCCCCTCCTTCAAACAAACAAACAAACAAATAAAGCCAGCCCTGGGATCAAGAACAGCAAAAATCAAATGACAACTCCATTTTAAAATATTTTTTAAAAAAAGAAGAAGAAAAGAAAAGGGGTGTCTGGCCAGCTCAGTTGGTAGAATGTGCACCTCTAGATCTCAGGGGTTGTGAATTCAAGCCCCACACTGGGTGTAGAGTTACTTAAACCAAAACCAAAACCAAAACTCCATCAAGGCTTTTGGAAAGAGTGATGATGGAATCTGAAACAGTCCGACTCATGGGAGCCCAGAGTAGAACGTGGTTGCCAAGGGCTGGTGGGGAGGGGAGTTGGGGAGATGTGGGGCAAAGGGCACAGAATTCAACTATGCAAGGCGAATGAGTTGTGGGGATCTGAGGTCCAGCTGGGTGACTATGGTTAGCAACACTGTATCCTACACTCGAAATCTGCTACGAGACTAGGTCCTCAGAGTTCCCACCATGCACACGAAGGCAGCCATGTGTGGTGAGATAGAGTTAATTAGGCTGACCGTGGTTATCATTTCATGACAGGCAGGTATACCAACACATCAAGTTGGACACCTTGAAGACCTATGATTTCCACTCATCAACCATACCCCAGGAAAGCCCATTCATCATACCCTAATGAAGAAGTGGGATCATAAAATGAAAAGAAAGGCAGTCAAGTCGCAATGCAATTTGGTTAAAAACAACAACAACAAGAGAAGAAGAAAGAACAAGACAGACAAAGACGCTAACCTCATGGAGCTTATGTTCTACTCAGAGGAGACAGGTGGTGAGCAAGTAAACAAAAGCTTGCAAAACTCAGATTCCCACAGGAGGCAACGAGGAAGCATAAATCCACGAGGCAGGTGAGTGTGGTGGGAAACATGAGAAAAAGCAGCCAAACCTCAGCTTTGGCCAATCTTCACTTCCCCTTCAGAAATAGGGACTTACATTGCCAGACCTTCTGATTTTTCAAGGATAGCTGGAATTTTTTAAATGATGACTGTTTTTATGGAAATTTGCCCAACCTTTAAACACTTGCTCAGAGACATTTTTACGCACTGCTCGCCAAAGTACGTTTCTGGGTCATTGCTGGCTGTGGGCTGCCAGGCTGTAACTTCCAAAGTAAACACATGAGGAGACAAGATAATTTCAGACAGTGATGTGTGCCGGGAAAGGAGATAAATACAGGGTGAAGGGAAGGGGAGTGACATCCAGGGGTGGAGCAGGGACTTTAAGATGGTGCCACCAAGAAGAGCCATTTGAGTAAGACCTGGAAGATGAAAAAAGAACCAGGCATACACAAAACTAAGTGATAGCTGTTCCAAGCAGAGGGAACAGCTGGTCGAAAGGTCCTGCGGTAGAACGAGTACAGAGTGTTTGGGGGAAAGAGAGAAGGTCAGTGTGGCTGGAGCAAAGGGAGTGGGGAGCAGAGAGTGGCGGGTGATGGAAGTAGAGAGGCCAGCAGGGGTCAGGTCATGTAGGACTCTCTGATGGTCATCCATGAGTCATGGGTCCTAGCGGTCTCCTCTCTCTGACCCTGAGTCTGGCCCCAACCTCAGTCTCAGACCCTCCTTTCTCCCGGCACTCTGCTTCCTTGTGTGGTTTTATCAGGGGACTGGAGAATGCAGCCAGGAAACTCTGTCCTATGGGTCACTGGCTCCCCGCTGAGGCCTCCTTGGCCCCATGCAGCTCAGTTTAAGGGACTGGAGTACAAGAGCACTGGGACCAGGAGGAGACATTCTCCAGTCCCCTTTCTTCCTTGGCTAATCCATGCATCCTTCATTCATTCAACAGACCTTCCCTGAGCTCTCATTGTAAACAAGACTAACAAAGACCCTGTCCTCCTGGAGCTCCATCCCAAAGGGAGAATTGGACAATAACCAAGTAGATGTATTGCTGTGGGCTGAATCGTGGCCCCAGAAGTTCACGTGTTGGTGTCCTGACCCTGTAGTTTCTCAGAATGTGACTATATTTGAAGATAGGATCTTTAAAGCAATAATCAAATGTAAATGAGGCCAATAGGGCCCTCATCCAATATGGAGAGCAATATGACTAATGTCCTTACAAGAAGAGGTGGTGAGAACACAGACACACAGAGTGATGATTGTGTGAGGACACAGGGAGAAGACAGCCATCTACAAGCCAAGGAGAGAGGCCTTGGAGGAAGCCAGCCCAGCCCACACCTGGATCTCAGACCTCCGGCCTCCAGAACTGTGAGAAAATACATTTCTGTTCTTTAAGCCCCTTCCCCTCCCTTCAGTCTCTGGTATGTTGCCATGGCAGCCTGAGCAAACAAATACATACATAAATACATAATTTCGGGTATTGATCAAGTTTGTGGGGGAAGAAAAGGCAAGGTAGGGACATACCAGGTAGTGGACCTACTCTAGACAAGGTGGTCAACAGTGGTCCCTCTGAGGCGGTAATATCTGGTCAGAGACTTAGATGATACGAGGAAAGAAGACATGGAAAGATTTAGTGGAAGAACATTCCAGGCTGAGGAGACAGCAATGCAAAATGCTCTGAGGAAATGAGCTTGGAGTATCTGGGGGGGAGTGGAGAAGCCCACATGGCCAGAGTGGAGGGAGCGAGTGGTAAGAGCTGAAGTCCCACATAGTCAGGAGCCAGGCCACATAAGACCTTGGAGCCACATTATTCTAATGGTAGTAATTTATTGTTACTCTATTGGCCTTTGAACTAGGTAGGAGCCACAGTATGATTTGCGGTTTGAAAACATGACTAACCCCAAAGTCAAAAAAGGTAGGACTTGGCCATGGGCTATAGTCTGTGGACCCCTGGCCTTGACACGCTAGCTTTGTGCCAAGAATCTAACCAGATGCTGTCATGTCTCATCTCTTCCAACGAGACCTTACGAGATACGTATTATTGTCATCCCCGCTCTATAGATGGGAAGTAGAGCTTGGGTTTGAGGGAAGCCAGGTCTACTCCATACACTATTCTGTTAGGCACATCACTCTACCTCCTCCTTGACCAAGCCTGACATCCCTTGTATGACCTAGAAGGGCCCATGTGATCTGGCCCTTGCCTACTTCTTCAGCCCCCTTTTGGCTGCTCTTTCCACCCTCTAATAGTAGAGAGTAAGATTTCTTTCAGCCTTTAGATGCACCAAATTCTTTCAAGCCTGGAGCCTCGTATGCAGCCATATTTATGTTACACTTCTTCTGAAAAGACCTCCCTGATCACTGCCACTTAATTCAATATCACATCTCCCTCTTATACATTTCCTTCATACTCTGTTCATTTATAGCATTTACCACAGCTGGAATTATCACCATATATTAATTCATGTTAGTACTGTCTGGCCGGCCAATTTCTATCTCCCTCACTAAACTCTATATGCACGAGGGCAGGAAACTTGTCTGTCTCAGAGCTCTAACACATGAACAACACGTGATGTGTATATTTTATGAAGAGAAACAATATAACCCAAATATGTCCCTTTATCTAAGGAGACCTTAAAAACACAATCTGCACAGTCCCTGATACCCGATATAACCAAAGCACCTACAGCATCAAATCCACCCCCTCACTTTCATTTGGCTGTACAGTCTGCAGAAAATTTCATGCCTGAGACTTCCATAAAACACTTTTCTATCCACACCTCCATGGCACCCCCAGGAATAACCCGGGTATGAGTTCAGTAATAACAGCAGCACCAAATCCCTACCATGCTGTAAATTCCATGAGAACAGGGACATGTTGACCTCATTCATCATTCTATCCCCCAGTGGTTCCTAACACAGCATCGAGCACTTACGAGATATCAAAAAAATACTTGTTCACTAATTGGTTGGATGAACAGATGGAAAAATAGATTAGATGGAGAGGAGGAGAGAGAAGGGGAGAATGGAAAAGGAAGAAGAGAAGAGAGTGGGAGGGGAATTAATTAATTCATAGATGGATGCCTGGATGGACGGATGAGATGGATATTTGACAAATGGATGTTTGGATGAGTGAGTTTGGGGATATAAGAACACTTGGGCTCAGAGATTAAAAAAAAAAAAAAAAGATGTACCAGATCACGTGACTCTTCAGAAATTGGGATTCCAACCCAGATCTTTTGATTCCCTGGTCCATCTTTTATACCAGGATCCGCCTCACTCTCCATGCTCCAGCCATACTGGCTTTCTTTCAAGACCTTAACTTCATCAAACTCTGTCTAGCTTGGTTACTCAGGGTAACTCTCTAACTCTCTGCTTTAAACCAAGGATTCTTATTATGCACTCTCACAGAAAAGCACCTAGAAGTTTATAATGGTGGGATGACCTGTGATATTTCTGTGTCCTTAACCAGATGATAATCTCCATAAGGGAAAGCACCTTTCTGTCTTGTACACTCTAATAGGACCTCTACATACATGTACAAACGTATTGTGTGTACTGAGTGTGTGTGTGTGCACAAAGAGTAAAATGAACACATGAATTAATGAAAGAAAGGAAGGGACATGACTGAATTCCCCCCCCACCCTCCGCTTATTTAGGAAGATACCTAAGGCAACAAAATAATAAAAATTGGCCGTTATTATTTTCCAATCATACGTTCATGCTCTCGAAGACTCATCATGTCTCTCTTACCTTGCATCAGGATCTACCTCTCTTCTTGTTAGAGTTACCCTGTACCTTTGTGCAAGATTTGGCCTGCTTTATACTCTGACCTCCATTCTGTTCCTCAAACCTGTTAAGTCTTTTACAGCCTTTTGTGTGTGCTAAACCTTCATCGCCATCATCATCACCATCATCGCCAACATCGCCACAAACATCACCAATTTTGCCACCACCTCTGTCACCACCACACTCTGAAAGGATGATTCCCATTCATTCTTCAGTTGTCAGCTTAAATATCACCTTCTCTGAGTTTCTCAGACATACCCTCACTGCAATACGTTCCCCTAATAGGCTTTATCCTGACTCTCGTCACAGTTATGGTTGTAATATGTGTAATTACTCATTACGGTCCAATTGTTTTTTATATTTTATTTATTTATTTGACAGAGCGAGAGAGCATAAGCAGGGGGAGCAGCAGAAGGAGAGGGAGAAGCAGGCTCCCTGCTGAGCAGGGCACACAATGCAGGACTCCATCCCAGGACACTGGGATCATGACCTGAGCTGAAGGCAGACTCTTAACCAGCTGAGCCACCCAGATGTCCCTGGTTACTGTCTAATTCGGTCAGAATCTAGGCTCTGTGAGGGACAGACACCATATGTCTTGTTAGTCTTGTATCTCTAGCCCTTAGCACAGCGCATGGACTATAGCAAGTGCTCAGTAAACACACAAAGCATAAATAAGTGAAGCTAATATAATTAATGACTTTTATATCTTCCTTAGAAAACATTTGATCCAATGAGGACTACATTAACAAAATGTAACTTTTTTTTTTTTTGGACCATCAACTCCAAGAATATAACAGTCCTTAAAGACCCCAGCTCCAAATCTAAAAGAATGTTTGGAGACCTTCTAGTTCTCAGTGAATAATAGGGCTTAGAACCCTCACATTTGAGCCTACAATAGCCCTTGTGCTTCCCAGAATCCAACAATGCTTAGAGATGTCCTCCAGCTTCCTAGTATACAACAGTGCTTGAAGACTCCAGGTAGAACCTGGAGATGAACCCTCCCACCAATTCCCAGCCAACAACAGGGCTCAGAATTCTCCTATGTTTGAGACCACTATAAACGTTGAGCTTCTCCAATCACCAGCATCCAACCCAGCATGCAATAATCCTTAGATACCCTTGGTCCAAATTTAAAATTGATCCCCAGACAACAACAAAACTTGGAATTCTCCCATTTTGGACCTTACTATAGCCCATGGGTTTCCCTCAACTCTCAGCATGCAAGAGTGTTTGGGAACCCTACCTCCCAGCATACAACAGTGTTCAGCACACCCTACCTCCCAGGATGCACAGTGCCTGGAGACCCAACCTCCCAGCATGCAACAGTGCCTAAAGATCCAACCTCCCAGCATGAAACAGTGCCTGGAGACCCAACCTCCCAGCATGCAACAGTAGTTGGAGACCCAACCTCCCAGCATGCAACAGTAGTTGGAGATCTAACCTCCCAGCATGCAACAGTGCTTGGACACCCTACTTCCCAGCATGCAACAGTGCCTGGAGATCCAACCTCCCAGCATGCAATTCCCTCAGTCTCCAGGCTCCCAACCCTCACCTGAGAGGCCAAAGCAGACAGCTCCAACTCGGAGTAGGAACTCTGCACCCTTGCTGAGCACCATGATGACACAGAGGCACCCCAAGGCCATGACTGCCAAGCCTAGGACCGCTATCACTGCAGCTGCCAGATTCACCTCTGCAAGGGGAGGAAAGGGAAGAAGCAGAGAACTTGGGATGTAGGAAGATCTCCCCTATAGGGATCCAGAACTAAGAAGATGGAAGATTCAAATCTAGTCAAAACTTTCCAGGTAGATCATCCAGTCCAATATTATGCTTACACTGTTGAAGGAGCTAAGACTCGCAGAGGGCCAGGGATTTGCCTGAGACCCCAGAGCAAAGAGGAGATACAGCCGGGATATAAAGGGAAAGGGAACATCATTACTTGTGATCTGGTCCCTGTTTGCTTACAGGTGAAGCGGCTAAGACAGTGGACATGTGGGTGACAACAGAGAGGAGAGTATGTTACAGTGGAACGTCCAAGTCTGAATTCTCCCCAGCCACTTCCTCACTGGAAGACTGTAGTAGAAATCACCAAACCTCTCTGAGCCTTGCTTTCCACCTCTAGAAAATCAGGATCAAAATCTCTATTTGATTGGGTTGTTGTAAGGATTAGAAATCTAATGTGCCCAGTGGAGCGCCGGGCACACAGCAGGTGCTCTGAACACGGGCACACTGATGACTTCCTCTCCCAGACAGGCACAGAGACTTGCCTGAGCTCACTGAGCACAAAGACAAGACACAAAGGAGGGAGACCCACGCTACTAAGCACGGAGCACCACACTGTCAGTTTTAGCTACATTGTCGCATTACATCCTTACAAAGACTGGATAAGAGTCATGATACGACCAAAGTCCCTTTACTGGTGGGGAGGGATACTGAGACACTGGGCTGATGGAGAGGCTGTGGTTGCAGCAGAAAGGGGAAAATTCTAAGAGTCCCATTATTCAGTATGTGTGTGGTCTATGTGCGGTCTTTTCATTTTAAGTGGATTTAAATTAAAACAAAATTTGGGGTGCCTTGGTGGCTCAGTGGGTTGAATGTCTGACTCTATTTTTTTCAAAGATCTCACCCTATTTGAGAGAGAGAACAAGTGTGGATGAGCAGGGGAGGGGGCAGAGGGAAGCAGGCTCCCTGCTGAACAGGGAGCCTGATGTGGGGTTCCATACCAGGACCCTAAGATCAGGACCTGAGCTGAAGGCAGAAGCCCAACTGACTGAGCCACCCAGGTGCCCCATGAAGGTCGGACTCTTGATCTCAGCTCAGGTCTTGATCTCAGGGTTGTGAGTTCAAGCCCCACATTGGGCTCCATGCTGGGCATGAAGCCTACTTAAAAGCAAACAAACTCCAAATTAAAAACAAAAAAAAACAAAAAGCCTGGTTTCTGGTGGCTCAGTTGTTAAGCCTCTGCCTTCAGCTCAGGTAATGATCCCAGGGTCCTAGGATCGAGTCCCACATCGGCCTCCCTGCTCAGTGGGGAGTCTGCTTCTCTTTCTCCCCTTGCTCCTCCCCCCTGCTCATGCTCTTTCTCTGTCAAATAAATAAATAAATTCTTAAAACACACACACACTGAGTTTCTCCATCACACTAGCCACATTCTAAGTGCTCAGCAGCCACATGGGGCCAGTGGCTACCATACTGGTCAGCAAAGATAACATTTTCATTTCATGGAAGATTCCATCGGAGATCATTGCCTAGGAGTCAGGACTATTTGGGTTTGAATTCTGCCACTGCCTCTGCCACTTCCCGGGAGAAGTAAATGTAACCATTTCTGGGCCTCCATTTTCTCATCTGGAAGATGAAGACAGAGCCGCTGCCCCATGGGGTCACACAAGGGACCAGAGTTCTTAGAAAGAAAACCTTCAGCGCTGTGCTTAGCATGTGATGAGCACACATCACTAAGATGTTGAAGTACTACCCACAGAAAGGGGCTGCGGCCTACCTGAAGTCACACAGCACGTGACAAAGGCAGAGCTGGGGCAGAAGCATCAGGCATGGCGGGGCCCCCCCAAAGATGGGACCTCCCCAGGGCAAAGCAGAGAAGACAGTGTCATCAAGAACTCCTCCAGCATGGCCAGCCTATCCCCTCACCCTCACTCCCCCACCGCAGGGTACAGTTCTCACCTTTCTTTGTAGTTCTCTGGAAGATGCGTGCATTTTCCCCCGTGGTAAAGAATTTAAAATAGGTACAGTTTGCTTCTGTGGGAGCAGGAGAGAAAGAGGTGGTGACATGGAAGTTGCTAGGCTAAGGTCAGGATGGACATTTAGCATCACTCACAGCAGCCCTAAAAATAGATCATCCGCATCCCCGACAGACACAGGACACAGATGATGCTCGGAGGAGGAAAAACCACCTGCCTTCTCCTAGCTATCAGGGGCTCGGGCTCCAGTCTGCTCTGAGGCCCAGATCCGTGGCCTAGTGAGGGCCGTTGACCTCTCTGGGGCCTCTGACTCTTTGTCTATAATATGAGAAAACAGTCTCGTTCTGGGCTCCACCATATGGGTTTGCTGAGGGCCACGTGGGATTAGAAACAATGATCGCTTTATTCAACAAAGGACACCAAGATATGGGGAACAGAAGGCTAACAGACTCGGAAGAGATTCTCATCTCAGAGAGAATTCACTCCTGCAGGTCAGCAAGAAAAGAGAGGGAAACCAATTGAAAAATGGGCAAAGGACAGAAATAGTCAATTCACAGAAGACGTCTGAATGACTCACAAGGATATGAAGAGATGCTCCACCTTCCCAGGGATCCCAGAAATGCAACTTAAATCAGCAGGGGAACACCACTTTAGATCAATTAGATTGGCAAATATTAAAAGGATAATATCAAGCAGTGGAAAGAGAAGAGGAAACAGCTGGGAGTATACACTCGTGTTTTTTGGAAAGCACTCCGACGTCCTTTACGAAATGAAGTATGTTGGTAACCTAAACTATAGCCCAACAATTTCATCTCCCGGTGCGTGCCCAGGCGAACACTAGGAGCAGGAACATGCATGTGCATGTTTGCTGCAACACTGTTGCTAATAACGGGGAATCAGAATCAGCCCAAGCATCCATGTCTAGGGGCTCAAGTAAGGGTGAGGGACTGGCTCTTGAGCAAATCTCTGCAGCGCACAGTAGCCAAGAATTAGAGTAACAAAGCCATGCGGGGAGATCTGAGCAAGTGTTGAGGAAAAAAAAATCATAAACAGGAAAAAAATTCACGACATGGTATCATTTATGTAAATTAAAACACAGACAGATATAAAGAACGCTCAGTATTTTCCAAGTTAACATGTATATTCGTGTGTGCGTACCCAGCCCTTTAAAGAGCCGAGTTAGAAAGGAATGGTGGGGGGACGCGGAAGAACAGCATCTAAAATAAAGCATGAGAAGGATCTTGGGAAGGCAACTGGTGACAATTGTGGTGTCAGCCAAAGACGAACCAGATTCGTCCGACTTGGTGTACCTGAGGTCCAAGGACACCGAAGCTTTAAAAAGGTGGGAGAGGGGGCATTTTCCGAACTGCATTTCAAAACCAGCACCTCTCAGAGAGTTCGCCTGGCCCCATGCTCTCCTTCTACAGATGGGGAAACTGAGGCACGGGAAGGCAGACAGGAAGAGAGGTTCAAGATGTAGGAGAGGGGGGCTGGGTGGTCTGGAGAAGGAGAAAGGAACTGACCAAATTGTGGAGTGACAAGAAATAAGGTGCTGAGTCAGGCGATTTGGGGGGAGACCCCCACAGCCGTGCCCCAACGGAATGCAAGGGGCAGGTGGGGTCCCATCCAAAGCAGTTTGACGGGAGTCCTTACCCCGCAGCGGCAGCAATCCTGCAGGAGCAAGAAGTAAAAGATGCTTCATGCAGCAGAGCAAAGGGTGAGGCTGCTTATTTGGTAGCAGTCTGTGGGGGACCAAGGTTCTTCATCCATGAGGGAAAGGTAAAGTCCCATCCAGAGAGTAAGAAGGTGTGGTACATCTTTCTGAGAGAGTGTGGGCTGCCTGGCCTCCTGTTTTGGCTACTCATGATTGAGGACCTCTCACCTCGGACTCCGGATGGCATAGCCCATTTGGAAAAGAGTAGGATGGCTCACACACACCCTTCTCCCCACGCAGCCCAGGGAACTATGAGAGCCCTTTGAGGGGTAGGGCAACGTGTGGGATAGTCCTGAGATAATGGAAGTTGTGAGTTTCTGGAGGGTCCCCTGGAGGGTCAGGAGTGTGGGAGGATGGAGACCGTCCTGGGAGGAAGCTGAAGTCCTTTCTGATCAATGGGGGTGGGGGGGCGGGCATCAAGGGATGTGAGGAATCCTGCCTTGTGCAGTGAGCTTGGGGTAGGGGGCATCCCCTCAGGGGACAGCCAGGACCTCTGGGACATCTTTGTGGACTAGTGAGATGCAATCCAGTGTGGTTGTTAAGAACAGAGACAATCAGCGTTCAAATCCCCTATGACTAGCCCGGGTGCAGAGATAAAGCCGCTTAACCTTCCTCACTCCTCATTCCTGGCTTCTGTAAGATGCGGATGATACCTAGTACCTATCCAGAAGGTTGCTACGAGGATATGAGGATTAATGAGTTCACACATGTGAAGTACTTCGAACAGAGCCTGGGGGCATAAGCCTCCAAGCATATTACACAAGCATAGGATTCCCAGGGCAGCTCATTTTGTCAACATTTGGGAACTTCCTGCCTGAGACACCACGGGGCAAACAGAAAAAAACAAAAAATGAGCCCATCTGCAGAAGCGAAGTGTTTAATCCAGACCCTGAGTGGGTGGGGAACTCACACAACAAGGGGTGCTGGGCATCTCACTTTGCTCTCAAGGACTTGGGACGTCCTATTTGGGACCCTATGGATGTAAGACAGCACATCTAGAAAAGTGAGAAGGGAAATCCCATCCGGAGCCCAGAAGGGTAGAGGATCTTCTCTGAGGGGCACTGAGGTGCTGGGAGGGTAGAGTGCTGGAGATCTCATGTGGGTGATCAAGCCCGTGACAACCCGGATGGACCGCAAGGGGTGTGGGATACAGAGCAAGAGCCCGCTGGGGCTCCCAAGGGGTATAGGATGTCCCACTGGTGTACATGCCCCGTCAGGGAGAGTGTGAGGTATGGGATAGCTCTCTGGCATCGGCAGGGGTGAAAGGGCATTCTGCAGGACAGTGAGGGCTGTGGGGTGTCTGTAAGAGAAAGTAAGAAAGACCAGAGGGTCCAGTCTGGACACTCTGGAGTGGGAGGGATGGAGATGAAGCTGCACGTTTCCCGGAGGCATCAGATCTCCGCTGGGATGTTGCTGGGTGTCTGGCAAACCCCAACTCTCTCTCCAGAAGCACAGGCTGTGTCAGGAGTGCGGGTGCTTCTGGGCAGTGCAGGCTGCTTGCGTTGCCAGCGGTGTGTGGGGGACAGGCCGGGGCTCAGTACATGGGCTGCATGGAGAGGTACAAGATCTCTTCAGGGAGCACGGGCTCTCTCCGGGATACAGGCTGGCCTGGAGACACACAGATGTCTGGGCCTGCATGCTCTGCTGGACGCACAAGAGCTCTGGAGGTCAGAGCATGGTCTGGAGCACAGGCTGGCCTGTGGTACCAGCTGGTCTGAGGGTGCAGGCTGGCCTGGGGTTCAGGCTGATCTGAGCATGCAGGCTTGTCTGGGGTGAAGGCTACTCTGTACATACAGGCTGGTCTGAGGGTGCAGGCTGATCTGGGGGGTACAGGCTGGTCTGGGGGCACATGCTGGTCTGGGGGTGTAGACTGGTCCAGGCGCACAGGCCAGTCTGGGGGTACAGGCTGGTTTCAGGTATGGGCTAGTTTTAGGGCACAGACTAATCTGAGGGTACAGGCAGTTTGGGGCACGGGATATAACTGGGACAGGCTGCTTGGGGGGATGGGTACAGGAAGGCCAGTTGCAGGCTAGTCTGAAGTACAGTCTTTCTTCTCTCCCTCTGCTCTCTCCCTTACCCCCTACTCCCACCCCCACCCCCAATACACTTTGCGTCTGGGGCAAAGGTTATCCCAGGGAGCACTGGCTGATGTGGGCCTGGGCTGGTTCTGAGGCTGCAGGTTTCCTTCTTGGAGCTCAGGCTCCCCCTAGGGTATGGGTTCTGCTGACCCCCGACCACTCCCACTCCCTTGGGGTACAATCCTCGGGCTGGGGGCATAGCTTCTCACCTCCGGGCAGCTCCGCGGGGCCGCAGGTGTCTCTGCCCGCGGACACATCGGACTGCCACAGCCGCTTGGTGCACATCTTCCACAGCCCCATGTGGGCGGCCTCGCAGATGGCACTGCCATTGGTCTTGTAGGTGTTGAGCTCTACCCAGAACTCGGTGCCCACGGCCAGCACGGCCAGCGTGGCGCCCACGGCGCTCAGCAGGAGCCCCAGCTTGATCTTTCCCTCCCGCTCGGGAGTCAGCTGGTGCTGCCCCTGAGCCCGCCGGCGGCTCACAGCCTCCCGCCGCCGCCGGTCCTCCTCTTGCATGAAAAAGTTGGACCACATCATCATCCTGGAGGCGGCAGCCCCGGCGGGGCTCAGAGCAGGTGCAAAAGAGGCAAAGCCGAGGAGGGGTCCTGAGGGCGGGAGGGGGGAGGCCAGCGCCTGTGATCCTGAAGGAGTGAGGGGCTCAGTTTCCACTGGATTCTGAGAAAGGAAGATGTGAACCTTCCCCAGAACCTCCAGTAGGGGAGTTGAGGTTTCCTCCGGAGCTTAGAAGAGGAAAAAATAGAGCCTCTGGGCGGAAACCCTCCAAGTTCAGAGGAGGGCCTGGGGGAGGCCCAGAAACTCCACAAGGAAGGTGGGACCCAGAAGAAAGGCAGGGTACCCCCAAGGTGCAGAGCTGAAACCTGGGTCTCCAGCAGAGGGACCTCAGGGCTCCAGAGCAAGAACTGAGCCCTGGCTGAGGCTCTGAGGGGTCACTCTGGGTCCCCACTGGGAGGAATCACCAGAGGGAAACTGGGTGTCCAGGAGCACCCCACTAAGGCTCAGAGCTCGGGGTACCCAGGGAGGGTGGCCGAGGGCCTCTTGAGTGTTTGAGAGGAGAAGCCTCCTGGTTCCTTTTGGGCTCAGAGTCTGGAGTGGGAGAAGCTGGGTCCCCTCTGGAATTCAGAAGAGATTGGAACTCCTTCTGGGTCTCAGAAAGGCCGTAGGACCCCCAACATTCACAGAAGGGGACAGTGGAGTCCTGACGTGGCTTCAGGAAAAGAGGGTGGGTGTCTCCCTGGCCATTCAGAGACGAGAGATAAGAGAGTCTCCCTGCGTCTGAGAGAGAGGACAGTGGCTCAGAGACACAGTGGGGTCCAGAGAAGGGGGCTGGCAGATGCCCCCCCCGGCTCAGGAGGGGGACCTGGGGTCCCTATCGGGGCCAGAGGGAAGGGCTGTGGTCCCCACTGAGGCTCAGGAAACGGGCACGAAATCCCCCCGGGATTCGAAGGACAACTGGGACCCGGAAGGGACTCAGCGTCCCTTTGGGATCACTCGGCTCCCCCTCCCCCGGGCTCCCAGGGCCTGCCGGGCCGGGAGGGCTCCAGGCTCAGCTCCAGGCCAGCTGCCTCCCGCAGGCCTCCCACCCTGGTCTCCCGGGCAGGGCCCCCTCTCGCTCTCCTGCCTCCGCGCCGCACCGGCCCCAGCTCCGCGACGCCTCCGAGCCGTCGGGTCCTGCAAGTCGCCGCCCGCTCCGCCCAGACACGCCGCTCGGCTCCGTCCGGCGTCGCCCCACCCGCCTACCCCCGCGCCCTCCCGGGCTATTTCAGGCTCGACCCGTAAATAACACCCGCACCTGTCGCCCAGCGCCTGTTACCATAGGGACCCTGGGTATTTTAAGGGGACGCGAGGGGAGGAGGGAAGCTGCCCCGGGAGGAGGGCCTGGGGGCGGGGTCCTGACCCGGCTGGAGCCCGAGGGGACTTTAATTTCCTTAAGGGGCAAGCGCCTGAGCCGAGGATCCCATCTCCATGGTGGCAGGGAACCTGGATTTGGGGTCCGGAGCAGGCCTGGCTGGGAGCCTGAATTGCTATGTCTGAGGGAGGAGTGACTGGGGCCCCTGACTCCTGGGTCTGAGGGAGGAGGAGGGGCTGGGGCTGGGGCTGGACTCCTGGTCGGAGGGTGGAGAGGGCTGGAGGCTTGGACTCCCCGGTCTGAGGGAGGAGGGGACTGGGGGGCTGGACTCCTGGGTCTGAGGGAGGAGGGGCTGGCCTGGGCTTCCTGGGTCTGAGGGAGGAGGAGGGGCTGGCAGCCTGGGCTCCTGGGTCTGAGGGAGAAGGGGTTGGGGGTCTGGACTCCTGGGTCTGAGGGAGGAGGGGCTGGGGGTCTGGACTCCTGGGTCTGAGGTGGGAGGTTGGGGGCCTGGACTCCTGGGTCTGAGGGAGGAGGGGGCTGGGAGCCCGAACCCCTGGGACAGAAGACTGGGACTCAGACGCCTGGGTCTTGATGGATGCAAGAACTCATGCTGGTGCTGGCGTCTTCAGCTCCCCAGGGGTGAAAGGGGCAGGCCTCAGGGAGAGGCAGGGTGTCAGGGGCCCTGGAACCAGAACCACAGTCCTCGTCATCGAGTTTATTAGACAGGGGGCCCCCAGGGGACCTTCCATGCAGCTTCAGCTCCCCTGGGGGCAGGGACGGGGACAGCCGTGTGGAATGGCAGCAGGGCCTGATCTTCACCCCTCTCCCCTCCCTCAGCCCTTGTGCAGACGGGCCAGGTGGGACCCACCTTCCACTACCTCTTCTGTCCATCCATGGTTGGCCGCTCCGGGGTGCACCCTGGCCCTGTCTGTCTGCCCTGCTGTGGACACGTTCAGCGCCCTGTGGGGCTTGCATTGGAGCATGAGTTGCCTGGAATGTGACCATGTGTGTGTGCGTGTGTGTGTGTGTGTGTGTGTGTGTCTCCAGCTCTCCCACCAGCCTGGGGCAGGGAAGGGTACAGGAGAGACTCATCTTTGTCCTCAACACCGCCCAGCCCAGGACTGGACACACAGGAGGCCTTGGGAGATGTGCATCGGGTGACTTAAAAGGATGGACGGATGGATGAAATGAGATGTGACACACAGACAGGTCCTCCCACGGGAGGGGAAGGAGCCCCCGTCGGGACGCGCCTCCCTCTGCGTTCTAACCAGCCTTGCTCCGTCTCTCAACCAGCAGATGGGAGATTGCCAGCCAGGCTCCTGGAAGGCCTGGGACTCCTTCTTAAATGAGTGACACCTGCTTGCTCCTTTCCCGAGCCTGGCAGGACCCAGAGGGGAGCCGGAGCATTCGGAGCGCGCCGTGCCCCTGCAGCACAGTGCCATGCCCTGACTCCATCATCCCCTCCTGGCCCGGGTTGCCTACCCCCCCACCCCCGGTCTGCATCTCACCCCAGCTAAGCCACTTGGGAGTGCACGGTCCTGTCCTGCCTCCCCTTGCTCTCTTTTCCCAAAAAGAGTATGAACTTTCTTTGGTATGAAAGCCCTTGTAATTTTCATGCTAAAAAGTGGCTTGTCCCTTTCACTTCCTCTGGTCTCAACCATTGCACTGAAACGACCTCTTACCAGGCCAGACCTCGCCATCCTCTGGCTCCTGGGCTTTCTCTGCAGTTCTCAGTCCCACTGGCCACTGCCTACCCCATGGTCACCCCCTCCCCCAGGGCTTCGTTTGCTACATCCTCTTCTCCCCCGACACAGATGACCCTGAGCCTTTAGCCCTCTAGGCACCCCCTCCCCCACTCAGGGCAGCCCCGTGGCTTTCAATGTCTCCTGTATGCTGACCTTTCCAAAACTTATATCACCAGCCATGGCTTCTCCCTGAAGCTCACATATCCAGCAGGTTACCGGATACCCTGAATTGGGTTTCAGGCAGGCATCTGCAACTTGACATGTCCGAAGGAGGACGCCTTGTCCCTCCCACCCAAATCCCGATTCCTTGTTCCAGGACCCCCTTCCAGGCAACACACCACAGCTCGGTGCTGTGCAAGTCGGATTAATAATTCCTCTGTCACTCAAGCTTCCTAAAATGCAAATTTCTTCCCAGGACTACAGGATGGGCACCTAGCCTATGCCCTGACCTTGCCCTACTGTGCTCACCCCTGTTAATCGGCCTGCCACAAGGTCTCCTCCCAAACCTCCCATGCCACCTTGGGTGGCCTGAATGCTTGTCCTGTCCTCTTTCCATGTGACTAGTATCTGTTCAAATGTTACCACCGCAGTGAGGCCTGGAGTCCCGTGTCCCATCACTGTCCCCACACCCTGGCTAGTGTTAATTCACCTCTTCGTAACTGCCGTGTTTATCGTTGGTCTCTCCTGGGGATCCCAGAGGGCAGGACCTTGACTGTCTGCTCACCTCATTCCGTAGGCCTAGCCTGGGTCCAGAACAGTTTGGCACTTGATAAATACTTCTTGCATGCTAATCCTGAACACAAACGAAAGAAGTGGGTCATTCCTATCCTGTCTCCACGCTTGCTTCGGGGCAGATCTCTGGATCCTTCTCTGTGGTTCCACCTCTCTGTCTCTGTTTAGTTTTGTGTACCTCTGAGACATCCATGCTCTGACATGTGCACCTCTGCCCCCCTCTCTCTCCCCATCTGCTCACCCTCAGGGTCTTCAACTTTCCCTGCCTCTGTGACTCACCCGGTGTTCTCTTACATCTCCTCCCCCAACCCCGCTCTTCCCATCTCTCCACTCCTCCTCATCTCCCCGCTCCGTCACCTCTTTCTTGCTCTATATTTGGCCTTTGGACTCTAGAATCCGCGCCCCGCAACCAGTTCTACCCCCTCCTCCACCAAGGAATCCCCCCTCCCACCCATCTTATCTCTCTGGACTCTGCCTCTCCCTGTCCTGTCTCTCCATTGAGCTTCCGTACACTCTGTCTTGTAGTCCTTCCCCCACATTTTCTACCCACTCTCCCTAAAACAGCTCCCAGGGAATTCCTCCCTGGTTCCCTGCCCTCTAAGCTCTCCCTGTTTCTAGTCCACCCATAGGGCCCCCAAGGGGAACTCCCAACACCCAGTCTGATCCCATCCCTCCCTTGGCTGCCTCCTGTCATCAGAACAGAGGCTGCTGAAGCCCCTGGCACCACCAATGACCACTTCCTCCCCCTCCATGTCCCAGGCTGTCTTCCCAACAGACTGGGAGCCCTAGAGGGCTGAGCAGTGTCTGAAGCATCCCCAGCCCCCAGTGTGGCCAGACACAGGGCCTGGCACACAGGAAATATTTACTGAGCAAATGAAGGGACATCCATGAAGCAACGTCCCTTCTGCATTCCCCGGTGGCCTTTGAATCCATCCCCTCCACCCCCACAGCCCTTGCTCAGCTCACCTGTGGCCCTCTTCTCCCCTCTCCCAGAGCATCAGCCTCCTGTTCACCACTTTCCCAAGTGGCTCCTTCTAACACGCAATCCAGTCCTGGACTTCTGCTGCTCAGAACTCCCGTTTCTCCTCACCGCCCTCAGAATAAAGCCCAAACTCCTTCACCTGGCACTCCAGCACCTTTCAGCTCTGGCCTCTAGTACCTTCTCTGACCTGACCTCCGGCCCTACCCAGGCCTGCGATGTCCCAGAACTTTGAACCCTGTCCCAAATACAGCGTGCCATGTCACTCCCCCTGGTCCATGCCTGGGTCAACCCCTTCGTCACTTGACCTGTTCCTATGCATCCTTCCTCAACTTCGGCTGGGATTAGGTTCTCCGGGAAGTTTCCCAGAGTACAGCCCACTGCTGGAGCTCGGTCACTGTGTTCTCCATTCAAGGTGTCCATCATAGTCCCTGTCACAGCCCCAATCACCCTGCCCACATTACAGTTTTTGACGACTCCACCTCGGAAGCAAGGGTACGGTCTGTTTCATCTTGGGGGACCCTGATCCCAACACACACTGCCTGGCATGTTAGCAGAGGCACAGAAATGTCAATGAGTGAATGGCTGAATTAATGCATGAATGAGACACAAATGTCTAAGTCCCACAGAGACAGGGCTTCTCCTGTACACCAGACGCCTTGCTGTGCTCTAGGATTTTGTGATTACCTGCTTCCTCCCAGGAATGGGAGTTTCAAGGACCAGGGCCTGTGTTTGATGCTGAATTTCAACCTGCCTCTGCCTCTCATTCTCCTCTTTGATTTCTGGCCTCCCTCTTGTGTCCTATTCACATTGTGCTCCTGCTTAAAGCCATTCCATGGCTCCCTGCTGCCCTCAGAATGAAATCCAAACTCCTGACCTAACCTACAAGTCCTTGGGCAGTCAAGCTGTGTCTACCTCTCCAGCTTTGTCTTGTCCCATCTGCACCTGGCTTGCTACACCTAGGCCCTCCCTGGAAGCTCTTCCTGCCCCAGGGCCTTTGCATATGCTGCTCCCTGGCTGAGACACTTCCCCCAGCTTCACCCAGCTGGTGTCTTGTCATCCTTTCAATGTCAGCTAAAATATTCCTAACTTTTAAATTGGGTTACACCTCCCTAACAGAGCAAGTCAAAGCATTTCAGATTTCTCCTGGGTTCTAACTGTAACTTACTCTTTGTATATACAGTTCTCTGATGAATGTCTGTCTGTTGCACAAGATGCAAACTCTATGAGGACATTGGGGAACGCTGTCTTCCTTCTGTAGGCTCAGCGGCCACCCCAATGCCTAGTGCTTAAGTATACCAATGGATTTCAGATAACGAATGAACGAGTCACACTCTGTGGCCATTATGTTCCCTCCCCGGGACCTTCCTGGTGCATAAGAGGCACTCAATAAACCCTTGTGGAATAATGAATGCAAAAGTGAATGAATGCGCACGTCCATTCCTTGTTACCTTGCCTTTCTGCAAGCCTTCTCTTTACCTTTCTGCCCCTTCACATAGGGCATATATATAGTTTGTAGGTATAACTATATATTCGTGTGTTATGGGCCCCTCTCCAGGAGTTGGGCTGGGCTGGGAGTCCCTCCCTCCCCCCGCCCCGCCCCCACATGCACACAGCAAAACATTAAAAAGAAAACATCTCAAAACTGCAAAAAAACTCCACGGCCCTCCCCCCACCCCCCCAACCCACAAAAAAAAAAAAC